CAGCATCCAGAGCCTTTTACCTATCGCTAACCTTTATCAGTTCAGGAAGGAAGAGTTAATGAAAACCGAGAAACAATGAAATGATTCTCTCCTTTAGTAGAGTGTATCATATAAAAAAAAAACCTTTGACTTTATTAAGCAATTAAATGCAATATGCAATATTCCTCTGAGTAACATAACACTCCAGACCCCGAAATCATTTTTCATTTTCACCACCCTGGGGAAGATATGATTTTTAAAAATCCATTAATAGACTCCTGTGGTTATAAAATGTATTGTTGCCCAAAAGACGCTTTCTTTGCAGATGCCGTAAAAAGAGTACTTAAAAAAAAAATCCGTTGCCATTGAGTCTATTCCGACTCATAGTGACCCTACAGGACAGAAGAGAACTGCTCCATGGGGTTTCCAAGGAGCAGCTGGTGGATTTGAACTGCTGACCTTTTGGTTAGCAATCGAACTCTTAACCACTACGCTACCAGGGTTTCCAAAAAAAGCACTGGACTAGCAAGTAGGAGGTCTTCTTTGTTCCTAGCAGTGGCAGACCACCACTAACTAGCTGTGTGACGTTTGGCAAGGCATGTAACCTCTCTGAGCTGTGTTTCCTCACCAGCAAAATTAGGGTAATAGGAGTACCTCCCTTGTGCATTTGTAAGGGGTATAACATTAGTAAACCTGCGTAAAGAGTTTGCATAACGTATAACGTATAACCTGATATGTATTTTGCATCACAAAATGGTAGATAACATTAACCATAATAACATCACCAACTATTACTACTATTATGATTTTTAATTATTGATGAGCGCCAAGAACATCTGGAGTAGAATCAAAGATGGGAGATCCAACATCACACTATTTTCCTTCGTTGCTCGAGAATTCCCCAAGGGAGGTAGGCCACACACACCCTCTCCCCCCACCCCTCCCACACACACCTCTCTCAAATCCTTATCCTACCGGAGAAGGTATTTTAACTAACCCTGCATCAAAGCCTCCTCATTTTGGCTGAAAGAATGGATCCAATCCCTAGCAGAAGTGCTGACCTCCTTTGGAGAGAAAAATCCATGTTTTCTCGAAATACGTTGGCCAAGAAAGAGCAAAGCAGTGTTTCCCAAAATGTCCTCCACAAAACATTCTGCTTGTTGTTGATATGGTTCTGTCCTTAAGGTATATGGAGAAAAACTGGGATAAACAAAACCACACAGACTTCTTTACAGCAAGACTTTTCAGGGCCTTTAATAGGCTAATAAGGAGCCATGGTGGCACAGTATTTAAGTACTCAGCTGCTAACCAAAAGGTCAGCAGTTCAAACCCACCAGCCGCTCCGTAGGAGAAAAGACCTGGTGATCTTTTCTCATAAAGATTACAGCACTGGAAACCCCAAGGGGTAGTTCTACTCTGTCCTATAGGGTCGCTATGAGTCAGAATTTATTTGACAGCAATGGGTTTTTAATAGGCTAATGGAGTGCCAAGAAGCCCTGGTGGCGCAGCGGTTAAGAGCTTGGCTGCTGACCAAAAGGTTGGCAGTTCAAATCCACCAGCTGCTCCCTGGAAACTCTATGGGGCAGTTCTACTCTGTCCTATAGGGTCGCTATGAGTCAGAATCCATTTGACAGCAATGGGTTTTTTATTTTTATTTTTTTATTTTTTGGAGGGAGGGAGGTTAATGGAGTCCCTGGGTGGTGCAAACCAGTTAATGCCCTCAACTGCTACCTGAAAGGCTGGCAGTTCAAATCCACCCACAGGCACCTTGGAAGAAAGGCCTGGTGATCTACTTCCACAAAATCAGTCATTGAAAACCCTGTGGAGCACAGTTCTACTCTGACACACATGGGTTTCCATGAGTTGGACTCAACTCAATGGCAACTGGTTTGGTTTTTAGAATTGCTAATAAACCCTAATCCACAGATAGGAATATAATACATAAAACTCAAAAACATAATCGGCCAAGAAATGTCTCAAGGAAGCAGTTTGAGAAATGCTGGTCAGTCAGGGCTGAGATATGGGTAAGGAGGAAGATTTGTGGGCAGTTTGGAGAAGAGCGAAGGAGTAGTGGAGTGTGGGAAGGAAGTTCTAGAAAGCCAGGCCCAGGATCTCAGGCTCCATCCCCCAGGGCGGCCCCTCCCACCCTTATCAGCATCCCTTAGAGCAGTTGGATGGACTTGTGAGGAACCTCCAGGTCAAACTTGTGCTTCGAACTTGCTCAACCCCCCTGACCCATCACTTGGTACAAACATCTCTCCCAAACCAAACAAACAAAAGGGCAAGGCCCCCTACTTGGAGATTCCATCAGCAAAGCCAGGAAA